AGTGATTTTCATGAACAATAAATGTTGTATATACCTAAATGTTTGATGTGCACACGCTATGAAATTTATTAAAATACAAATGAGATTAAGAAATGCAAAAAAAAAGCTTATTAAAGCCGAGTTTAACTCAAAAGAATTCTACAATGCATTAATACTAAATATGTGCTACAAACACTAAACACTATTTTGAAAGACTTTAAATATCAACTAAATTAACTCAATAACTAATGCAGCATTCATGAAATGGCATGGATTGGGCGAATAGTGCATAGACACCAATGGAGGGAAATGAGGTGAAAGAATCGTGGGCATGAAATGCGCTAGACGTGTTGTTTTTCGTTTCAAACTTTAAATGAGTTCATCAATAAAGGGTTTCTAGATTAAAACTTTAGCATGTTACCGACCGCTTGAGGGTTAGGTTAAAAACCTTTCATGTTAGCGTTACACTTACCGAGTTTATACATTCGTATTTATGTATGTATGTATATTTGACAGGTGATCGCTAAAACGTTTAGTGATTGTATACTGAGCTACTACGAGTACGAGTGTTATGGGGTTACTACATATACATATATGTATATAGCAACTCTTGATACATATTCATATAATATTGCAGATATATTAAGTGTATGTATTTATATTTTTTTTGGTTTAAGAAAAATTATGGTGCAATAGAAAAGAGACGGCACATGAAAACATGTTTCATTGGACGACACGACGCTTTCGATTTGAGTTGAGTTGAGTTTGTTTTGCTGTTGTTTAATGTTAGTTTGCACTAAAATAGCTAGCGTAATATGTACAATCTTTGTTGTATTTTTGGTACTAGTGTCTGTTAATGAGCTTTTGCATAAATATGTAAATAGAAACAAGAATCAACTAATGATATCGTTCAATTGACAATTTTTACAACGATATAACAAATTCAAATCAATTCAAATTTGGATGCTGTTTGTTTTACGAATATTTTAGTTGCAATGTGAACGAATGAACGAACGAGCGAACGAACGAACGAACGAGCGACGCTTTTAGGTAACTAAGTTGTTGCTTGATAGCTTGACGCTAATTTATGCTGTTGTTTACCTGACAAAATAGAGCCTGGCGTTTTTGGGGTGAATTGATTCAATTGGTTTTAGTTGATTGATTGGTTGGTTGGTTGTTTGGTTGATTGAAAACAGAAACAACGTTGTATTAGAAGGGTTTTAAACGATTAAACGAATAAAAACAACCAATAGCGCGTTAGAATACAAGCAAGATGTTGGAGTAGTAGTTGATTTCATTATTTTTGAATTTGGAAGTTGGAGCAGAGGAGCAGAAGTAGAAGTGTTGAAGTAGGCGGAAAACGTTAGACAATATCGATGTTAGCGGAAACAGAAAGATAGAAAGTATCAATGGTAAGAAATGTTCAATCAAAAGTTTAACTTTTTTTATACTAAATAATTTCAAAATAAAGAATGAATGAAATTAGAACTAGGAAAAACCTGAATCGGGCAATAAATGAACTGTTTAAGGCATGTTTTTGGACTCAAATATATAAACTAACTTAGATATACATAATCCGGGATTGAAGGCAAACTAATTAAATTAAGAAAGGGTTTTTGAAAAAATGTGTTCTCAGTATGTATATGTATGTACTAAAGACGTATTACATTTTCATTGGCGCTTAGAATATTTATAAAACTGATTAGCTTGTTATTTATGAGTCTTTGGTAATAATTGTTTAATGAAGCACATTTAAGTTTAACAAGCTCTTAAATTTGAACGAGATTTCTTTTTTATATAGATTTGTTGTAGTCCAAATGATAGTAAAGGGGGATTCACTTTGTACTTTCAGAAATGGAGCACTATAAGATAAATCTAAATAATAAAATTCAGTTTAAAAATTTTAAAACCACAAAACCGCGAATTTAGAAGTTAAAAATGTTATTTATGTAGCTAAAAATTCCATTTAATTTCTTTATTACTAATACCGTATTTCCACTGGGTATTTCCCAGCAAACACAGTCTTTAACGTCAGAGAAATTTGGATTTCTACATTAGATAACTAGGGTAAACGAAGTTAGTGAACTACATTAGAATTCGATTCGAGAACGATTAGAGAAACAACGGAAATTCAAATAAATTTAAGTAAGCAATATTCCAAATGAATGAATCATAAATTATTTTTAAGTTAAAATAATTCATTATTATTTTATTGCAAATACAGTTAATACAAATTTTACAACAATGCGTTTCATTTAATAAAACAAAACAGCAGTTTGAAATTCACATTCGAATAGAGATCAACGTCAGAATGTGGCTAGTTCTCCAATCATTCTCTAATCGATAACTAACCTCAATGTTTGCTGGGTTAATGTCAGAAATTTCAATATCTAACGAAAATTCGGAGCGAGCTTTATAATATCTAATATTTCTTAACTCAATAACTCTTGCAAAATTTAAAGTGTTCAGATTGGCAATAATCCTTTCTGAAAAGGCCAATTATATCCTGGTTGTGGGTTTAATTCTTTGACGTATAAATTAACTGAAATAAAATATTTATCAACCAGCTTTATGCCGGCATTACACTGGGCATTAAATGACATACATTGATTTACAAAGTAGGGCATTAAAAAAGTGTCATTACATTCAGAATAATAGTCATTAAGTCTATTTCCATACGGCATTTGTTTAATGGCACAAAAATTTGCGTAACTTTTGTTTCGATGCCTAGTAGAAATTCGGTATAATGCCATATGGAAACGTACTTAATGGAAATTTTTGTTAACGTGATGGCACAGCTATTTTTTACTGGCCCAACTTTGTCATTATAATTTGTCTCATTAAACAAAAAAAAAAACAAGTGGAACACACTTAAATGACTATTTTTATGAAAGTAAAATATAGATTGAAGCTTACACATATGTTAGTGTTTGGCGGAGCTTCTCCTCCGATTTGTGTGCTTTGATGTTTTTACACAAAGGTAAGGAATGAAGGTAATGGCACGAGCAATTTAATGCTGTATTTCCACTAGTCATTAAATAAAAAAAATTTCGATGACACAGTCAGGCATTTAAAAAATACCCAGTTCACTAAGTTTGTAGCTTTTGAATTCATTCCCATTTGTCATTTTTTAACGTAATGCCTAGTGGAAATTTGTTTTAGCGGAGAATCTAACAAACGCGTTTAAAAAATGCCTATACATAATACCGAATTTTCACTAGGTATTGAAATTACGAAAAACTTGTGCCATGTAAAAAATGCCATGTGGAAGGACAACACAATGACTTTGAACACCCAGCTAGTCTTCAGTAATAATTAGTATCGCCAATATTGCTAAATATTTTTCATTACTAAGTAATTAATTGATTAACTAACTTATTGTGAAATATTCTTTAATTTTCAATGAATGAAATATGTATGTATGCAAATGTTTTGAGGTGCGATTTTGATGCGCTTGATTTCGTACTAAATTAAGTTGGTTTTGCTTTTTTTTACGAACAAGAAAACAGTTTTTCAAGAGCCTTAGCACAAATTCCGTAAAAGCTGCAATAACTGGAAAGCGTGAACATCAAAAAAAGATATGCAAAAGCACGTTAGCTAATAAAATGGCTATACGTAAAATATTTGAAGCGAAAAAGTCAAACGTTCAACTTAGACGGAGTTGTAAAGGAATATTTAGAAGTGAAAAGGGTTATATTTATTTTGCAAAGCTGCTGGGATAGAAGTTTTTTTTTTTTTTTGAGGACAGGATTTAAGGAATGTGCTGAAACTAGCATCTCAAATCTTTATTAACTACTATCGCACTAAAATAGTTCAAAGCTCAAGTTATTCGAATCTAATGAGAATTTGATATAATGAATGATGTCAAGTTCGTTTAGAATATTAATGGAAGAAATGAAGGCTGGAAAAGTACCTAATATATAAATTAAATAGGTTTTAAAAAGCGGAAATTATTACGAATTTGATTAGAAATGGCAAATATGCCTCTATATGGAATATTTTCAATGGGGCTTAACCCTTTTTTATGTTAGCATAATGAGCTGATAGCTATACAGAAGTGATTTTACCAGTACTTCAAAACTTGAGTTAACGTGACGAACTCAACTACGTCTACAAAAGCAAATATGTTGTATTTAAAAAGACAGGCCTTTAGGAGGTGAAATGTTTTTTCGGCACTTGGCAGAACATCAGGTTGTCACGAAAAAAAAAAATGCAACCTTCAAGGTGAATATACACCAAATTGAGATACTAAATGGACTTCCTAAATAAATTTTGTATTTTATCATACAACTATTCGTAAAAACAAACATAGAAAGCCTACTGATATACTTATAACGCAAAAGTTGAAAGCTGCAGCTAATGAACCTTATGCATAAAATGTGAGGTTAAGCTGAGACAAAATTTCTCCACACCAATGAAGTACAATTAACCTCACTTTTTAAGCAAGAGAGGTAATATCTGTTACCTACACATATACATATATATATTTATGGTTGCTAGTATAATACTAGAATTTAAGAATGAATATAAACTTTTAAACTACCCTACAATCTGTAAAGAACACTAAAAAAATACTTTCTTATACGAAAAAAAAAACCTCAAAGTCAATAGTTTCTACAATGGGAGGTAATGTAGTATATATGTACCAATTGCAATAAACGAAAATATAAAAATTAGCCAGCATTGTACGTAAAACGTAGATTGAATTTTGCGCACAAGCAAAATTTTTGAAGCTACAATCCTTATATAATAAAGGTGTTTTTGAATAAGAAATGTGTAAATTTCCTAAAAACATACGTAGGTGGAAAATTTTGTAGAGTTGTTAACATACATTGTTTTATATGTAAAATAAGTTGTAGAAAAATTTTGCAATTGCAAAATGGTGATTAACAAACAAAACAAATTAATTGGAAAAATATATATAATATTAAATTAAAACTTTCGCAAAGAAAACCAAAATATCGCATTTAAAAATAGTAGTAGAAAATAGTGTGCTTGAGCGCACATGAAGCCATTCTTACCGATGCCAAATGGTTTGCATGGTGGTTCATCGTTGCTGCCTTTGCCGCCAAAGCTATGACGATTGCGAGTGCCAAAGTCGCGTATGACTTGGTGTGCTGCAGACGAAGAGTGAATAAGAAAAGAAGAAAGTTAGATTGATATGACAAAACAGGAAATAACGTTTCACTAAGCAGTCTCTTCTTACCTGGAAATTTGGAGCTTAGTGTTTGATTGTTGAGATCAGCGAATGATTCAGAGCGTCCCACGTTCAGCAGTGATTCCATAGAAGCATCGAAACGCATAAGCTATGTGAAAATATATAGAAAAGTGTTAAAAGAATACTTTCACACATGTATAAGCAACATTTTTTTGCTATTAGCTACAGGCATTTAAAGAGAGTTAAAATCTATAAATTAAATACATTAATACAATAACCAAAAAGGGTATCCAAAAAGATTTGTGTTACCAAAGTTAAACATAGTAAAACGTATGAAACAAACACAACCATACAATATACAACACACACATTTAAAAGTGGCGCATAAAAAGTGGTTTGGAAAGTGATTGCTTAGCTAAAGATACACATTCTAAGTTGTTATATTTTAAAGAATCCAGATTTGTTGTTTTCCTAGTTATAGGGCCACTACTAACTAAGCTTTGTCTAAATAGACTGGATCATTAAATTTTCTTCAAGTTCAACTAAAGGAAGATCCAGGAAGGGTGCTGTTTCGACGGGGTCGGATCAAAGGGAAAAGAGCTCCCAGACCTTCACGTGTGAGGAATGATGATGAGAGTGACCAACGACAAATTCAAGACCCAGGTGAAGTATTCTACCCCCTGCTGGCATGTAATAGCATGCGTCGTCCCACGGAGCCAATGGCCTTGGAATGTCGTCTCTAGTGAAAGCAAGAGACGTAATAGTCCTTGGAGAGTTATGCGGCATCCTGACCACTGGAGATTTCACCCTAAGCATGCAATCTATACTATCGGCTAAAATAACTTTCCCTTTCCTTAGGGTCCAAGGAGGTGACATCACTGAATGCGATTTGAACAGGGAACGCTTGGTTAATCAAACTTTGCTCTTACTAGAAGTGAACTTGCTGGTTTAATAAATGCTCTTCCCATTTCTTCCGCTTCACTTTTCGGATCGATGAACATACCAATCATTTTCCATTTCCGATCATTACGACAGGTTGTTTACTTAGCCTCTAAAGGTGTTTGCAGCCATAAGAAATAAACCCGGGAAAATCTGATAAAAAAAAAGCTTACAGTCATCCTAGGTCTGCGCATTGACTTTGCGCTGCGATCTTAGTCCAAAGAAATTAGCATAGAAAATTTTACGACAGTACACGTAATTTAGAACATCGACTATTCATTACGTCCAAGTAAAGCATATTCTCTTTCAAATCCACTTTGAATGCTTAACTTTCTTTTTTGTTTTTTTTTTCTGTTCTCATTATGTTTCAGATTTTGTTTTCCACTTTTGTATACTTACACTTCCAGCTGTTGTTTCTTTAACCGCCTTTTTACATACAATTACAAAATTTGCGTACGTAAATCAAATGTGTTTATGTGCAGACGGCGGTTATTTCATAATTTTTGTTTTTCATATTTATCATTCGTTTAAAAATTGTTTGTTTCAAGTTTTTTGTTTTGGTTTGTTTAAATTTTGTTGGTGGAGCATAATATTGTTAATACGATTAATTGTAGTACATAGGTGAGGTGGTAAAATTCAAATTTTGTTCGACATTGGTGAGGACATAAAACATACGAGTATATTATTTCAATTTATTTAGATTAGTTTAGTTTTGGTTTAAGGTGAAAGCGCAAAAAAGTGAGAAAAAGAAGAATTTTGTTTTAGAGCTCGGTATATAGTTAATAGATACGAATTCAAATCATTAATTGATTAAATAATTTGTATATAGAAGCAGCTAAATTGTGATTGAGAATTTTGCAAAAATAATAAAGCGTCATTTGTACACAACTAACTACGATGTGTTTCATTGTGACTTGATGCGCAGCTACGGATGTGTTTAGCGCTACAGAGCATATGGCATACAGTACCTGTGAGAAGTTGGGCACGCTGACAGTCTTGCGCATAGACAGTGGTTGACCGTGCGCGGTCTCTAGCTCTTTGACGGCTACACTTTGACGTAGGCGATCAAGTGTCAATATACTTTCCACAGCTGACACGCCGCGTGTGTATTTTTCTGTGGTTTATAAAACGAAATGATTACTAAGAAAATATTTAACTCATTAAAATTTTTGTTTTTCCACTCACCGATGTAGGTTTCGCCATCACTTGCAGAGCAGTCATCACCGCTTGCAGCTAGCTGTGCCAACGACTCGCGATCCTCCAATTCCTCTGATGCCTTTGGTATGTTTGAGACCACTTCATAGGTGACACCCGTTTGCGATATGGCATTCTCGCCGCGCACCAGGCGAAACTTTTTCAGCCGATCGGTAATACTTTGGCCTTTCTTGATGTTTATGCTGATGCGTTTGCGCAGCACCAAATCCATGGGCGCAGGATGCGAGAGACGCACAGTGGTGCGCAGAATTAAGTAGACACGCTCATTCGCTTCGGTCATACGATTCAACGCCTGACTGTCGTGCATCGACGAATCCCAACTGGCAATCGAGCACACATCCTTCTCCAGGTGTTGTAGTATTTGAAGGGTGTAGAATTTATGACCATGTTCTTTGGAGAGTATGGAATTTAAGCCAGCAACGGAGAATTCGTCATTGGTATTCTGTGCCGACATATCGTCTGCATTTAGATTGAGAAACAACACGGGTACATGCGGTTCCATGCCAGCTGGCGGGTCCCAAGAGGCTGGCGCACCTGGTATGCCTGAGCCAGGCGCGGGCACCAAAACTGCATTCCGTTCCTCGGTTAGCGATACCCACTGATGAACCAAACTCAATTCACGTTCACGCTCTTCCTCGCTCTTGTCCTCTTTTTTAATCAGCTTTTGTATTTGTTGATCGAGATATTGCCGTCGTCGTCCCAGCGCCTCACTCCATTTTTCACGTAGCACAGTCAGATCCTCCTCCTGATACGAATCCAATGGACGCTGTAGCCGTGAGCGCACACAAATACTGCCAATAGCTATGTTTACTATGGATTGACAAATTATGGGCAATGTGCCCGAGTTTTGTACAGGCTTGACGCGCACATTGACGCGCCGCTGCTGACCTTGGCGCAGCTGATAGATGCCACCGGTGAGCACCTCAGTGCGATTTGTCACTTCCACAGGCGAATATTCACCATTGTCATTTAGCTCGTGTATCTCCACCCACAGTTCAATTTTACGTGACAACTCCGCCCAGCGATCGACTAACGAACGCGCCTTAGCCTGCTGTTGCTCCACTTCCCAGCCTTTGGTTTTTGAGAAACCGGCACTGCGGTGACCCCAAACCTCAATGGATAAAGCACCCTCAATGCAGTGCTCGAGAAACTCTTCATTGATGGTGACGGTGAAATCTTTAGTATGTTCGAATTTAAATACCATATTCTGGTCATGCGAGGGCGCTTCGGCATTGATGACGGGCACCACAGTCTCTTGATGACCCCAAAAAGTATACTGACAAAAAACGAAATTAGAAAGCGAGAGTGGCAGGCCGGTGGCGCTTTTTATGGAGACACGGCAAGTTATCTGATTGGACATCGGATCGACTGGATCGTCGTATTCATCACGCGAGTCGGTCGACGACTCGGAAATCGATTCGCACATGCGATCCTGTGGCATTTGACCAGCTATGCGTTCAACTTCGACTTGAAGTCGGCCAGCAACTTCACCTTGTTGACTAATGATTGGTGTGTGATAGTCCAATTTCACATCATGGAAGAGTACTTCAAGGAAAATATTGGCGACACCGATCAAATTGTGATTCTCTTGCGACTCATAGAAGGGATCCAGAGACTTCGAGTGCTCACTTTCCTATGAATTAGAGTAAGAAAAGAGTTAGTGTGATTGTTGATTTCATTTTGAGGAGGCAAATGAAGGGAATGTAGGGGAAAAAGTATTTAGGGTAAAATGAGTTGTAAGTATGTAGACAATTACCTCATCGCTATCTTCATCGTCGGAGTATGTTTCAACGACAGGCTTTTTTGTATGCCAATCGCCATAATGATTTGTGCGAATTGTAATGAGTTAGTAAAATGTAGAAATGTAGAGAAATTTTTAAATTGAATAGCACAGTTAGCATACATATGTATGTCAATACTCACAAGAATATGAATTACAAGCAAAGTGAATAGAAAGAATGATACCAATTGTATGTTGTAACTTACCAAGCCATTTAGAATGCGCTCCTTGTGTTCCTGATACATTTCACGCATATCAATTAACTTGTTTTCCAGTTTCTCCATAGTCCAAATTTGACTGCCTGAATTAGTACGTTTTACCAAAATTGCCGGCTCGCTGACAAAGGCGCCACGCTGTATGAAATAAGTTTAAATAAAGTTTTTTAGATTCAAAAACAACACTAAAATATTAAATTAAAAGTCCATAACTTTGACTGTGATCATTAGCGAACTAATAGTGTCTCACGAAGCTTACTACTACTCACCCTTCTGTTTGGGCTAAGATTTGCTGGCGGTATTTGCAATGTAACTGAGAATTTCGTCTTCTTCTCCATCTCTTCGGCAAGGAAGTTAGCCTCCTGTACCAGCGCATTAGCACGCATTATATCGTTTTTCAACTGACCTAACGAACGCTTGAACATCTCATCACGCTCCTGCACGCATATTTAAATAAACGTACGCGACATTAATGTGTAAGCAAATATCCAACGATACATTTTCAAACAGTCTATATTACATACCTGTGCCCATTTCTCTACACGCATTTGGGATGTAGGTGTGTTTGGTGTTATTTTACCCAAACGCAAGGGATCATATGGCGTATATGGTGCGTAAGGTGTGCTGGGCGATAACGTATTACGCAACTGTTGAAATTGTCGCTCATACTCCTGCAAAGGCAATTAATCAAAAATAATTTGAGGGGGACACTCAACACAAAAAAAAACAAAACAAAGATATACATGCGAATTGCCTACGGATGCCGCACTTGTGTTCGCTCACCTGTCTCTGCTTCTCTAACGCCACCTGCTTATCCTCCTCATGCTGACGCTCAAGCCGTGCAATGGCCGTCTGTATGGGATCATTACTCAGTTCGTTCTGCATAATCTCATCGCGCGCAAAATTATAATCAATTAATTGCGCCGGCGTCTGCGGCTCCGAAATCATATTGGCATTGGCGCTCTTCGGACAATTGACACGGAAGAAATGATGATTGCCCCATAAAATACGATCGCCATTATGCAGCGGAATTTTCTCCAACACCGCCGAACCATTTACAAAGCAACGCGCCCCCTGAATTGGTTCCATGAAGAGGCCACCATCTTCGATTACAATGACACAATGTTCAGGTTGTATGCCAAGGCCGGATAGTTGTATGTCGGGTTGTTGGCCGGATATGCTGTGACCACCAATCAGTGTACGCTCCTGCAATAAAGTAAAATCGGATGTGAAAACTATGCTACGCATTGGCTCCCCTTTCGAAACACACCTTTAAATAGTAGACCAACAACTCATTGAGGGACGGATCAGCATTCAAATTGACTAAATAATATTTATTCTTCTCCACTTTAATGCCACTCGCTTGCACGCTGATACCCATCTTTTCAAGTGCCTGCTGCCGTTCATTTTGTATGCGTTCGGTTTTCACCAATTTCTCCTCCCACGTCTGCGAGATTTGCTTCATCAGGTTCTCACTTTCAGCCAGCTTGTCGTGTATGTCCACGCGTTGCACATCGCCCACTGGCGAACCGGTGGCGTGTTTCAGCATATTTCGTAATGCTTCCACTTCCAGACGCAATTCTCGTATGATACGCGCATTTGGATCCTCATTGACGACAGCGTGATTGACAATGCGTTTGGCGCGATCGGCGTAGCGCAGCGTGGATAGCGTCTCTTCGTAGTTGTCGCCTGAGGGTGATATCGTGGCAACCATCACCGTCTTCGAGTTGCCACCTAAATTGTCCTTCAGCAGCCAGGTAAGCACTGAATCGCGATAGGGTACGAATTTGTCATTGCTGCTTTTCTTGCCATTCGATTGATCGGCTAGCTTCGAAATGACCAAGCCCAAGGTGGTGAGGGATCTAAGGTGAAATTTATATAAGTCGTCTCCACAATTGGTGTAAAAAATGAAGATATTTTCGTTTGGATGTAACAAATTAAAATTTTCAAAAATTGCTTTTAAAGTTATTTTCATAATTTCATTAAACAAATTTAGTTAAATTCTTTTATAAAAACGGATTTTCGATTAATTTAAAATATTTGGCTCATCTCACTAGCTATTATTCCCCTTTCAAGCACTTCAGTTATTTTCTAACCGGCAGGCGGTTTGCAGGCACAAAGTGTATGTATAGTTGAGGCCGTGAGCGCCGAAGTGGCTTAACTCCCATTTTTTATTGAATAATAATAGCAATGGATTGGCGAGCTTCTCCTCCAATTTGTGGCGTGCGCCTTGATGTTATCGCACAAAGGGGATGGACATAAATCTTTACCCACTTTTTTTTTACTTAACTACATACAAAGCTTTAAATGTGATAAATTTCATTTTTCTTGACTTTAAGGTGCAATGCTGTGAACATAACGGCCTCTATTACTAGTGCCTTCGGACATGCCGGTACCCGGTTACATACATTTTATGCTGGCAAACCGGCGACCAGAACGTGTGAAACGGCATTTAAAGCAATATTGAAAGCTCTTATTTTTGCTGTAAAAATTTTTCAGGTAGAAATAGCGCCTTAAAAGGCAAGAATTTATTACATTATATGCTGCTTTACTTCTTCTATTCTATTTAGCAAAAAATTTCTTTAGTCTCATATTATTCTCGCCGCTTTTACATATTCACCAACACCACTCACTTGTTGATGTTGGAGCCCTCCTTCAGTCGGTCACCCACAGCACCAGTTTTGACGGCACGCTCCGAGCCAGCCAAATCCACCAGCGACATACGTGACACTTTTTCACCACTCACGCCAGTCGCTTGGTCGGTCAGAATCTGTGTTAACACTACCGAGAAAACAGCATGCGAACGTGACGATTCAGCATTCATATTAGTAGCGGCCACTGTACGTGATTTGTTGCCCTCCGTCATTAGATTGTCAATGTCCTTGTACGAAGACACTGCCAATTGGGATAAACCATCAACATAGGGTCCCAGCACATTGTGCTCACGCACTTTGAGTGACTGTTTATTTGGTTTGGGATCAAGTAGATCGTGTACTTTCTCATTGTATATTTCCATATAGGACACTTCCACTTTATACAGCAGATCCTGTGTAGTCTTATTGGCAATGGCAGAGAAGAGCTCATCACAAAGGCGTGGTATGATGCCTTTGGATTCAAGTGAACCCATCATTGTGTATGATTTGCCGGAGCCTGCGGTATGGAGAGAGACAAAAGTATGTATTTATTTATGTATTTCTTGTATATATTTACATACATGTGTGCATGCACGTCGAACTCACCTGTTTGGCCATAGGCAAAAATGCAGGCATTATAACCTTGGAATGCATTATCGAGTATATCACGTCCCACACAATCGAAGACTGTTTCTTGTGAAGCAAAATTTTGATCCTCGGCATTTAGCGAGTAGAAGCAATGATCGAATGCAAATGTTTTGGGAGGTTTCCTATGGAAGAATAATATAAATAAAAATTGTAAATCGTGGTAATAATATAAATATATTTATCGATGTATTTAGTATAAAAGAAGAGTGAATGAATCACAATCTATAGCCACCAAATAGGCTTAGTTATGCAAATGCGCACGTGCGCGAATATTAAATTGTAGACAGTCAGCGAAAGTGTAGTTAAATCTGAGAGACATCCCTGCAGGGCAACGTGAACCAAAAAGAAAATACCTAATCAGCCCTATCATGAGTTTCAATGACCCCAAACCGGTTAACTTTTCACGTTTGATTTCCATGTGTTTACTATGGGCGGAATAAAAATTTTCAGCTGAAATTTTTTTGGAGGAAGACTCAGGATAAGGCAGAATATGTTTTCCGTGAAGGCGATTACATAGTTTTATAAGGATCGGCCCTTAGAGAAGAACCTCATAGTAGAGCTGGGTCTATCCGTATATTCGGATACCTCATAGTCAAGTCATTCGAGATATCAAGCATATACAAAATTTAATTTTCAAAGAGAGATTTTAGGGAAATAGACAGGCAAATGAATCAAAATATTTTAGCCAAAAGTTCGGTTAATCTGCATTTTACAAGAGGCGATTTTCTAGGCGATTCAAAATTGCTCAAGAAAAATCGCTCGTCTTAAAGTAGACAGCAAGTCAACTTTTGCAAGCGATTATCGCCTGTCGAAAAATCGCCACGTGTAAAGGCAGCTTTAGATAGCAGAACCGCTCATATAAACTTCTTTGTTTCGTCTTTTAATATTTTCCTGAAAAGGTAACTTTAGGTAACCCACAAGAAAAATGTTGGATGGGCGAACTAAAGTTCTGAAAGCAGCTGATGTCCTTCCTAAACCGTTCCTCGGTAGTTTTGATGAAATACGATCTAATATGTTTATACCTACACCTTGCGAAATCAGGGCAGTTAAGTAGGAAATGCCGAAATGATTTTCCCTCGTCATCCCCTTAACAGCTATAAGGGTCTGAAACGATTTAAAAGGGTACCTATTGATCAGTGTTCGTTCACGACTCCCGAAAGACTTGACCAGCTGAAGAAACTCTTTGATCATTTGCTATCGAATCTCAGACTTTAAAACTTCTTAATCACGCGATTGTCGACAAGCGCTCACTAAGACTACCAAAAGTCAATCTGTCCAATTGTAAATCATTTATCCACTCAACAAAAAAAAGTTGGAAATGTGGTTTGAGCAAACTTAATGAATTCCCTGCAGGGTACACGCATATTACATACATTAGTGCATATGCACATGCATTCAAATTTTGCATAGATAAATGGACACGTCGTCTTACTCACCTCTCCAATTTGTCGAGCGATGGCGGATTTTGCAGAATTGTCTGCTGTTTTTCCATCTCCACGATGCATTTTGTGCCCAACTCGATTTCTAAAAGTAAAAGGAGGAAGGAAATACATAAGTATCAATAATTTTGTGGATTATTTACTATGTAGTAACTAGGTATGTATTTAGTTAGCGAGAATGACGCATTGCAAAACGTGCAAAAAAGTAGATTTATGTATACGAATTTATGTAAATGAATTGTTAAATAGACACTAGACTAGGTGGTACTCGCCTCGTTCGCATGCAAATTATATCAGAAATGAATGATTGATAAACGTAAAATTTCAATAAAAGATATGACCCGAAATGGACTTCGTACTTGTTTTTAGAGAGTCCAAAAATACATATGTACTTAAAAGATTTTTTTTTATTGCTGTGCCACCTTAGCCAGCCGAAGCATAGGCCATTTTTTTAGAAGTGAATTTAATTGTTATTTAAAAATGTAGCGATGTAATAGTATGGCATTGCAGTAATGCACACGGATATAAAATCGAATGCTGAATACTGCATGCATAGGCAAGGCCAGAGTGTTAATCAGTATTTATGCATTTGAAATTCAATTTCGCACTGTACAGCTTTAGCAAACAATTTGTGAATGCAAGAAAGCAAACTTTCTTATCACTCGCACACAACGAATGGCAGCAAAGCAAGGCATGAAGCTCGTCAATGCACTTTCCCATACATGAATGGTTCTTAAGAATAACGCTGATAGGGCAAGCGATTATAGAGAATATAAATTTGAGTTAATTGGGTGTAGCTTTTAAGCCGAAAATATTGATAATGAAGGCTATTTATTGAACAACAACACAGTGTTACACTGAAAATTAATTTTTTAAATGATCTTATAATATAACCTTTAAGCCTAGTCGAGTAATTTGTAAAACTGTTAAAAATTTTCCTAACACCCTGAAATTCTCAATAAAAGAGTAAGACGCAATTCTCACATGACTTCTTTTTTTCTGAAATACCACAAACTCCTAACATGTCAGGTAAGACGTCCATGACTCGTTGATTCCAGATCAGACGAAACGGTGGATAATCAACTATCAGTGTGGTTGCCAATTATCAGAAGAATTGCGTAAAGCCAAGTCCCAGTCGCGTAGAATTAAACAGGGGGTTACCTCAGCGGCGTACTTTCCCCTTAACACTATACGGAAAAATCATTGACTTTGCAGTTTATTCAAGACGAGAAACCTCAGCATATCTGCCCAAAATCCTGCGAGTAAAGTTTGACAGCCTTTCCTCTTTCTCGGCGCACGCCTCAGCCACTTAAGTTGCTAGCCGGCAAAACCTCGCGAGCCGACAATGAGACCCTGCACACAACATACTAAGCGAGGGGCAGATCGGTGGCCAACTATGCCCCGCCAGTGTGGTCGGCAGAGACGAGCGACACTACTGCGTGAATCTTTCGAACTTGCCAGAACGTAGCTCTACTTTCGGCCACAGACTGCGACCTCATGTCGTCCGATTAACATCTTAATGAAGAAAGGTAGATGCCGAAGGTGAAGGAGTACAACACTATGCGATCAAAGTAATTCATACTGCGATGCCATCGCAGAAACCACTCCGGCAAGGCATTGCTTCGGAGAGATGCACCTAAAACCCGATAACCCTGACACTGAAAGCTTTATGGACTGCGCCCATCGACGTCGCCCGCTTTCTTGGCTTCTGGCTTACAGAGTCGGAGGATGAAGATGACTCACCTAGGAGGATCTAGATGCATTTCTATATCAACAAGAAACTTTAAAAAAAATCTTACCTTTACCTTTTTGGCGGTTAGGGTTCTACATGGCTGTTTGGTAGCGCATTGTGCCAAGGTCTTTATAAGTATACCAGTGTTCCTACGGTCACATATGTAGCTCTACCGTACATTCTTGGCAACTCTGGAAATACTCGAATCGAAATTACGAGATATCGAAACAGCTGGTATTCTCTCATTCGTTTGTTTTTACCCATCATTCGCATTTCTCCCCCAACACTACACACTAATTGTTTGTTTATGACATCCCAAATAGCCTGATTACAGTAATCATAGTATTCGCAATAAGGCTCACGTTCGGTTAGTAGAAAAACTAAAAGAAGTTGAACCATATCCTACGGTCGGCATTCGGAAGCGAGTTTCGCAAATCAAAGTGGAAAACATAACTATGAAACAGGTCTAAGGTACCATGACAAGCTGTTTTTCACCGCAGAACAGAATCCAAATGACTTGCGAGACACTCAAACACCAAAAAGCCCTTTTTAAGTTTTGATCTTGATAAGTCCATGAGGTTTGAGAAAGAACCAGTTGTGGAAACAGCTGCTGAATCGCCATCTGAAAATCTCAACCATTCATAGCCATTAAAATGCTAGCACTACCAAGTGCCCAACTTCATTTTGTTTCTCATTCTGCCAACCGTTTAACGGTCTCTATAGGGATACACATCGTTTACCTGTTTAATAATCTTCAATAATTAATTGCTAATAAAAAGTTCTTTCCAGAGCATCACTTCTCTCTTTAATAAAAAAAAAATATTTTTTTTTTCAAAATTGATTATTTTATTTTTTAAGTATTAAACTAACAAACGAATTAATTAATGTGTTTTACAAGCCCTTTGCTTAGTTTTTTTTTTATCATGCACCACAAACATGCATACATACATATGTACATATGTATGCAAAATAAACAAATTTTGGGTTAGGCCTCGTCTGATTTCATGGCCTCATATATGCTTCCTTACGCCCATATTATTGACTTGGCGCTATTCCACCTTATTCCCCGCAGCAGTAATTCTGGGCAATTCTGAGCGAAGGCGGAATAACTTTTTTGACAATTATTGACTATGAAATAACGACGAATAACTTTCAAGCAGAGAAATAAGTATAAGTAAGTATCGTTTTCCGAAGAGAGGAGTGTCAAAATATTAAAACTTTTTTAATTATTATTTTTTTTTTAATTTTTAAATTAATGAAAATCTATCAAATCTCGTTCAATTCAACGACAAGAACTCTGATACTCTCACGCCATGTTCGAGTATTCAAGTGTTTGATCAAACTTAAGCGTAGCGTAGTAATTACCTCTGTAAATATGTAGAGAATTTCCCCCTCTACAACGTGGTATCTTTATCGTTTTGTTTAATGCATTTGATTTGATTTGATTTGACACAGTATGAGTTGAATTGGAAAAAATTTGTTAGTTTTTTATTAATTAAAAAATTTGAAACATGTATATCAATATAGGGCAAAGCTTAAGAGTTGCGGAATCTAGTAGCATGCCCCTCATACTGCCTGCCACATTTGTCCGATTACAAATTGCATCTGTTACTTTTCCATATTGTTTACTTTTAGGCCACACTACTTTTTATTTAGAAAATTCTGACGATGAAAATTTAGCGTGGCGATTGTCAGAATTCATCTGCGGTACATGTTTTATGGAAATCAACATGCTATATAACAAATTTTATAAATTATGTATTATTATTATTATTTTTTTGATGTTTATTCCAAAAACATTTAGAAAAACTTAGTAAAAATCAGGGAGACCTCTCTGCATTGGTAGTATAACATAAAAAATTCTGAGAAATATCGAAAGTGGTGGCTGGAACACCCCATATGAGGGATATTTTCAATATATAATTTAGATAACTGAAAATATAGAAATGTTAGCAATTTTTAATAATGTTTGTTTTTATTTAGTAATTTAATTCAAAAATCAGGCAATGCATTTAATATAAAGTAAAGTTGCTGCCTTTTTAGGTAAATCAAACGCTACTAAATAAGTGCTCTCTGGGAACACTTGCTGGTGCAGGCGAAAAATATATGCGTGCGTAACTTGAAAAAATTTTAAATTCCTTTCGATTGACGCCTCAACATTTAAGTTTAGACTTTCAGCTATATTTTATTACAACGCATTTATCAACTTGCAATGTTGTGTGTCCAGACAGCTATAAAACCTTTGCTTTGCAAAGTTCCTATAAAAAAAGTCTAAGACATCAACCTCTTCAGTTGAGAGGTAGATGTCGCCCTATACACTACGTACGCTACAGCGGAAATGGACGACACGCCATATCTTCAAATGAAATTAATTGGTGCTCGTATGTATGTAAATGCATACAGTGACGAGCAAAACTGTAACATGGAGTAACACTTTTAACTTCAGCTGTCATAGCGACAATCTATCTCATAAATGGTTTATAATAACTTTTGCTAAAATTTCAAAATCAAAAGTTAAGTATCAAAACAAATTCTATGGGACTGAGAAATATTATTTTCAACTTTTTAGTCCATTTATAAAAGCGTCGTATATTAAATGTTTTTTTTTTATATTATTTATTTAATATTTCATATAACTTTGGTATAAAATAATTTAATTCGACTTCTGAAATAGGTGGCAGCCCTCTTCAAAATATTTCTAAACCACTACCTTCTTAAACTTCTTTTGTCTGGCACCTATATAGTGATACCTTATTCACTTACCAAATTCTTTTAACTAAAATTGAATTCGATTTTTTTTAAGTATGTGGCAACCTTCCTACACCACTTTCAAAATCATTTTGGTTGTAACAAATGATTTCACTTTTTAAATAATTTGAGCTTAATTTCTTAACAGGCGGCACATCTTTTCGAAAAAGTAAAACCCTATTGAACATCTACAGCGCAAGATTTTTAATTTGACACCTCATTTTTGAAAATCTAACGGAATAAATATTCTGATTTTCATATTACGCCTTATTCCGTTTTATTACAAGCGTCAATAATAGACTTATTCCGACTAGTTCTTCTCTATTCCTTAAATATTGATAATCCAGCTTATTCCGACATATTCGGAGTGTCAATAATATGGCCGTTAGTAACAAATAACAAGGCGAATATTAAAATGTAAAAGTTTTAATTTATGAATGAATTACTGAACGACCGGAAATCTTGTTTGTTTTTGTAGATATCTTAATACGCATAGATGTGTGTACAGACGTTAATCAAATTTTTATACAGTAAACTTACTCCAATTGCGAGTACTTCTGGTCAACACAAAGCGATAAATTAAATTAGATTTTTTTAAATATGTA